CCCTTTCGAAACATTTCTCGAATCCCCAATTCATTAGTGAAAGAGCCATCCTATTCTGATTCGAAGAAAAGACAACCCTCCGTTAGGGATGTAGAGCCGTATAACAATGTCGTATGCTTCAAGATCCCCACAACAAAGTTTCCTATTTGCTTTTAAATCGTGGAACCTTATGTTAACCTGTTTTGTAATTGCAATAATATCTTACGAGGGGTTAAATTATGCTAAAAAAGAATGAAAAAAGAATCAAGAAAATAATCGCTACCAAAATATTAAAAATTCTGTGCATTTCTAATCTTATATTATATTTATCTTATATTCTGTTTTTCATCTTTATTATCATAATTAAATTTTATAATTATAAATTTTATAATTAAATTTTATAAGAGTTAAAATACTTTACTCATATACTTTTATATTTACTATATCACCTTCCATAATAGCGATCAATAAAATTTTATTAACAATTTTGCAAGAAATTATAAATACTGAGATAAAAAATTACATTGTTATATATCTCAATGAAAGGCTTTTTTCATCTCTCTCTTATCTGCTCAAATTACTCAATGGATTTCGATGGAAAACAGTGGTAACATGCACAGATTGATGCAAATATATTTAAGGCCTTTGATCTCGCGTTGCACACGGTTTAAGCAATCTTCTTTTATATCGATTACTTCACTATGAACTTCACCACGAAGGTTGTTACAACGGGTGTGACGAGATAGCTTTTAGAAACTTCAAAGGATTTGAACCGCCCATTCGCCGTCTTCTGTGCCGTGATAAACGTACACGATCACCGTCGAAACCATAGAACCACCGGGTGTCTGATCGCGTCCGGATGAAATTGTCGGTAGGTAGAGAATGTCTTAGTCAACTATCGGCCACTCGTGAACTCTACAAAGGCTGCCATCATGTCTACGCCGTCTACGCCGTAGACGGCAGATAGCTGTGTGATCGGTGTTCCCGCCGTAGTTTCCACTGTAATCGCGCTAACGAGCTAGAGCCGCCTTTTCTTCCTCCGTTTCCTACGAAATAAAAAGATCTCGAGGAAGCTCGTTTGAAGGCATGCTAGCACGGTGATCGCAAGCGCGCGGTGTGCAAGTCGCTCTGGGCCGATGCCCCTGTGATTCCGTTAATGGGACCTGCGTGTTCTCGGAACAAAGCTGATCATTCGCCGCCGACGACTGTTTTAAACGGTTAAATGTAATGACAGAAATAGCAACTCTCTTGAGGGAAAATTAAACGAACATGACTACGAGTATATATAGTTGGATAAATGAGAGAATACACAGATAAGATTGATACGTATAAAGAAACTTTCACAGTGTTCTAAATATTATCGTAATGTAACGCATATACATATATGCACGTGTACTTGTGGAATAACCTTGAAAAATCAAACGTGACCAGCGAAAAAACTGGCCACGGATTCTGTTTGGTGCTTTTAGACATGGACCTGACCGTCTAGAATCTAGATTATAAATATTGATCCTGAGCGTCCTTCAGTCTTGAGTACACTCGAGAACTCCCTCTTGTCCGGCATTTCTATACCGAGGTTGAGTTCGAGGGGGATTCTTCATGGCGAAATTGAAATCGGAGAGGTTCCTCGTATACATTCCACTAGAAGAAGAATCGGAGTCGTACGAGTTAAATTAAAAACTTGGCCTATCTAGTTTCAGCGAATCTTGTCTCTATATCGATAGACAAATTCAATGAAAATTTTTATCAAATACGCAGTGAAAGTAAGAGACTAACTGTTGACTCGAAATAGACGCGAGTAATGTTAGACATGCGAAAAATAGAAAAACAACTAAAAATGTAATACGTATATCGAATTTTATATGGCACAAAACTTTTTTAGAATCAGGGGATACCTTTAATAGATTTACAGTGGAAGATGTAAAATCTTTCTAGTTGAAAAGAAAGTAAAGGCGATAAAGGAAGGTCGCCGTGGAAGTTGCTAATTCCAACAAGGTCGAAGGAGCCGGGCTTAGTCGAAGACCGCCGTCGGGTTTTAGGCTTTCCGTTCCCCTGGCACGTCTTCGTGGCCTCTAAACCGGTTTAACCGAGCTCTCGTTAACTTCGTTACCGCTAATGCCTGTTGCAATGTGACTAAGTGGCTATTGCTGCTTTGGGCGTTCTGGCCCTGAGGCCTGCGATCCTTTCCCAATTACTTTACTACCGTCAAAGTCGCGATTCCATTAATCAATTAACACGAGTTATAAATTTATCAGCAAAATCGTCGGTACCCGAAATAATTAAATATATAACTTGAAAATGACTTTTCACTGTTTCAGAAAATCTTATAATTCTCAATTAGAATTTATAATTACTTACGATTCTCTCACTAAATATTCTATTGTAAATTTTGCGCGGTAAAATTACTTATATTATTTTATTTTATATTATATTATTTTATTATGTTATTTTTAGATTTCCAAGTATTAATTAGCAATTATAGTATATTTTAGTATATTATAGTATTATTTTATAGTATATTTTAGTATATTATAGTATTATTTTAGTACCGTTTATTTCAATTGTTTATTGGTAAATATAATCCGTGCGCTCGTCGGTATCGCGGATAATATAAAGGGTCGCTCTTAGAAATCGTTTTCCGATACAGCGTGTACATAGTTACGCGCGTTCTTCTGTGTGCGTGTACTCGAGCATACGCGCTCGTCGACATGTCTTACAGGCCGTAAGCGACCAAAGGAATGTCCAGTTACGTGTACTCGTAATCGTTAAAGCAGAGGGAGACAGGTGAGCTCGGTGGCTTTGAGGGTATCGCGCAAATTACAGATCCAAGGACGAGCGTCCTAGAAATGCCGCTTTGCGTAAAGCCAAAGTCTGATTAAGTGAGGCATTTTAGTATGCCATGAGTGCATCGCTTTTCGAAAGCTCGTCACTCAAGACTTGAGGAATCGAGAAGGTTGAATCGCGGAAATACCGGTGGGAAATTCTGAAGATGCTACTCCGATTTTCTCTTCATTTGATTTCGTCTTTATCATTCCGTTATATGATTGATGCATTATAAGTAAGAGTAAATTTACCGTCGCACGCTTTAATCTTTGCGTTTTATTACTCTATCTTTCGCGCATATTAAATTTCAAGCGTTACGTAATTAGGGTTATTTACCATGAGATGCTGTATCGCGAAGATCATTGAATTAATTTTATATCGTATAGTATCTATTATTTATATATGACGAATGTTTTTATCTTTTATATGATAAAAATGTTCCCATATAATTCCTCTGTTTTTCGAACAAACATGGAAATTTCAAGATTCATTGTCTATTGTTATATTTTATATATTGTTATGTATTGTTATATTTTATATATTGTTATATTTTTACCTGTACATTTATATACAGCTATTTAAAAGTAATTCATAAATGTTGTAACAAAAATTAAAATTATTTGTATATTTTTTTGTGCAAATAATTTAAATTAATAATGAGAGTTTTACGATTAATCAAATAAAATCAAATGCAACATGTTATTATTTGGATAATTTTCAATTATGTGTATAACAAAAATATATCTTTATGTACTTAATTGAAAATTATTTAAATAATATAGTGTTTGATGTTATTTTAACCGAAAAAAATTTCATTAATTTATTAAAATTACTTTCGAAAAATAAAATGAATGTAAATATTAGTTTTCATTAGATTAAGATGACTACACGTTTGCGAATTACTATAGATGGGAGAAGCCCATCGTAAAAGACTTCGGAACTCTTTGATGATAATTTATCTCCCTTGCTCTCTATCCGTTCTCGCTCTCGTCAGCGTGATTTATGGGACAGCTCGGGAAGATAAGCGCACCCACGAGACGCTTCTGCATCACTAGTGATCGTCGATCTGTTGTCACATAATCGGTATTTACTGTACCGTTGACACGATATATTCATGTGCATATTAAAAATATATAATTTTATTATTACATTTCGTTCGCAATAATTATACATGTCAGTTATTTTACAGTTGTCGCATGACATTATCACCAGTCGTGAAACTTCTTAATTTAGTACGGCTTATTTGGATCTTCGTTGCAAGCTAGTAAAAAAGTAGTCGGAAAGTACGGATATTGCGCGCGGTATACATATTCGCCTTTTCTCTAGGTGAGAAACTTTTGATTTACGATGCACTGCCCGACCAATACCAGCCGGTTGCCGCGTTGCTGCTGCAACGGCACAGTAGAAAAGTTTTCTGGAGACCAAGAACGCGCTCTATTAGTACCATTCGTTATTTTGTTTCCTCTCCGGTTCGTGTGTGCGGGAGGCCGTATAAGAAAAGGTTGCGAGAGAAGGAGGAAGCTCCGCGGCTCCCGCGCCAGAAGGAGGCGGAGTATCCTCTGGAAGGATATCCGCCGGCGGTTCCAAGAGACTCGGATAGTTTTTCGTCTCGGGAAACTGGTTATTGATACTGCAGTGCGCGAACTTTCCCGGAACTTTCCTGGCCCCGCCCGGAGTGCTCGTCGGGCTCGAGAAAAGCACGGCGATAAAAACATATTTGCCCGAGCTCGATGTTAACAACCTCCGCCGTCGTTCCTTCCACGTTTGTCATTACTGCCGCGTGTGTCATTACGCGCCGTTCGAAAATTCGCTCACTTTGACACGTTACGTACGAATTGGAAAGAGAGAGAGAAAGAGAGAGACACGCGATTCATCAAATGTTTCCATAATTGCTCGTACGCTCTAGTACTTTACGAAGAACCTTGGCCAGTCGCCAACCATCGTTTCTCTCACTAGGCAGACGTCGGTTTATATTTATAATCCAGTTAATCGCTGCTCTGTATTTTAAGACACGACTGAGCTTTGCCTTCGCCCGAAAGTTTAATCTTTGCAAAATTTAGGAAGCTGTTTCATTTGCGAAACGTTGAAACTTTTGCGTGTGTATATATTTCAAATTATAAATGATAAAAATTATATAATTAATCGACTGAAATGTCGTGCAATTTGTATTGACGTTTTTTTTTGTATTTCTGTTGCAGAATCTAAGTGCTAACAGAATGGATACGTCAAGAGTTGGAAGAATGGTGGGCTTGCTTTGGTTCGCCTTCTTTTTCGCTGGAGTTTTGGCCGAGGGAACCTTGGAAAAGTTACACGAAGGTGAGTACTCGCTTAAATTTTTTGATCTCTAGCAACACTTGTTCTCGATTTCTAAATAAATATTTTCCTGTCTCAATTTTATTTCGTATGAAAAGAAAAACAGAATCTAAAGAAGTCCGATCATTCACCATCGTAAAGATTACTGTCCCTTCAATTGGGTATCGCGAATATAATGAAAAACGTCGTTATATCGCCACGGTCGTTTAATGCAACGATACTGACAGCACGGTAGTGCTGATGATAAATTTCAATTTAATGTATTGGATATTCCACCTTTGAAGGCTCGTTAGCGTAATAACCGGTTGAAGGGGCGTGACTGGTTTTTCGCAATTATATATTTCCCGACAGAGCATACTAAGCTTCTTGATAAATGATCGGTATTTATTAACGTTTAATACGGTTTAAAAAGTGAAAAAATATTAATTATTAAATATTTTCATATCAAAGTATTAAACGAAATAATCGGAATTGTCCGATATTATCGATAAAAGTTTCAATTTATTGATAATGAATATATGTAGATAATTTAAATATATATATATATATATATATATATATATATATAATCTACATATATTTTATAACTCTATAAACTATAAAGCTAAGGAACTGCAACATGTAAGAATGAATGACATTCGCAAACAACATCAGTCAAAAAAAGCATAGGAAAATACATAACGCAACATGTGAGAAACGGCAATCGTCTTGCTGCAACATTACAGTCAGTGGCAAGAATGCAAGAGAAATGAGCGCTCGTCTGTGAGTGATTCTGATGCGGTATCCTATCGATCGCCTGAATTTCCTGCCTCGCAACACGAACGAGCACAGTTTGTAGAAACGAGAGATAAACGTCTATCTCACTACTAGTCCGAGAATGGGCAGTCGTGGCGGGGGTGAGTCGGGTAGAGGACGATGCCGCCTCGGCAGAGACGAAAACGAAGAGAGATGGAGGGGACTTGTAAAGTATCGGAGAGAGACGAGAGCGACAGAGAGAGATGGAGATCGAGAGAACAAACGGAAAAGGGGCGAGGAGGAAAAAAAAAAGACAATGAAACACAGAGATGGAAGAGAACAGCAGCGGAGAATGAGGCGTGGAGAATGAGCTGGTTGCAGAGCGAAAAGCTACTTTAAGGCGTATTCATAGCCACCTGTCTGTGCCTTGTTCTCTTTCGCCTCCACGTTCGCCTCGTTATCCTGATTTCGCGCCATCGCCGCGAGCGAGATGCGAGAGGAGAGTGTAACGTTGACGATCGCGGGATACCGCGAGAGAGCACCGTATGATTTAGCCGTAAATTCGATCTGCATAACAAGGCCGTGGATCGCTCATGAATAAAGTCATTGGTATTTCGATATTAATCACGCCTCGCCACATCACGAACGAACAACCAAGTCAGTCGCGTCCACCCTCGTTTTTCATCTCTCGCCGCGTTCTCCGCTATCGATTATTGGCGATTAAACGAGCTATTGGAAATTCTGATTTTTCAGCTTGTTCGAGCGGCGCTTTCTTCGACATTTAATTGCATCTATTGTGTTTGCGGATGCTCGCGCGACATAATAATGATTCATATCGCGTTTAATGCAACTACTATATATTCGCGCCTTTCCTCTGTTTATGTATTTAGTATATTTATAGACGACATTTCGTTTGCGCTCTCTCTCCAATTTGTGTTAGAATTATATAAATATTGGATGAGAAATATAGTATTTTCGATATATTGCTTTTATGGACACAAATATCAATTTCTACATCTCATTCTCGTCTAAGGTTAACGTAATCATTTGCATAGCTTTTAAAGAATTTATCTACGCTATAACAATGATAATTAGAAGCTTCGGAGACCGATTGGGAGGATAGATTGCGGGTTTTCACATTATAAGTGACCAACGCGCAGGCTAAAGCGATTTTACCGAGTTTTCTAGAGAGTTATCTATCGCGGTCACAGTAGGTAGCATAGATAGTGTATCTACGCCTTCCGGCTGATAGATTCTTCTGCTCCTCTCTCTCTTGTTTCCCCTTTAATTTTCTGCTCACGAGCATAGGGTTATCTCTCTCTTTCTTCCTCTCTCTCTCTCTCTCTCTCTCTCTCTCTCTTTACTCTCTGTGAGATTCAGTAAGCCGCGTTGCAACTTCCGATTGAATAAGCATCACTTCGCTTCCGCTTCCGACGATGTAGCCTTTGATGCAATACCTACGTTATTGCGCCTATTTTTTTCCTACTCTACTTTTACATTTTCTTTGTCGGTACGATGTATCTGTCGCCTTCCTGCTGACCATTCCGCGTCATCGTACTAGATACTTCGTCTGGATATATATCTTTCTTTCCTGTCTTCCTGGTAGCATTGTGCTTTTCTCCTGAGAAAGACCATGGTTTAAATCTTGTTGAAACTTTGTATCGCGAGAGGAAATAGATTCCGACAGAAAAGGAGATAAATATTTCATTTAGACGAGTTTTTTACTGCCTTTTATTTTTCAGATAAATAAATCGATATCATAATTACATCGAACGATTGATACATCATCGTCTATATATATCGTATATTTTGGTCATCGTGGTAAAATCGGACTATCTAGTACATTTTATCGCGTCCAGAGGAATGACATAGATATTACTCGCGCGAAGAATGAAGAATAGCCACAATTATACGCGACAGCGAGAAGTGACATCGCGATTCATCAAACGGCATTAATCTCTCTCCGTCGCGAGTGAGATAAGGCTATGCTTTTTTTGCTCACGCGAATACACGCACGTCCCGCCGAAGCTTTGTTCCTCTCGCGCGCGTTTCGTGGATTCGCCGATCCTGCTTCCGGCTTCCGGTAGACTTCCGGCCTCCGTAGCACCCGTGAAAAATTGCATTCATCCGTCGACAGCGTAGCGTGCCTCTTTCTGATGACGTGAGACGCGACGGAATCTCTTTTTCCGCAGAGGTTCTCCGTCTTTCGCAATTTCGCGCAATCTCTAGCGACATAGCGTCAATCTTTTTCTTCCATTTTTTTATCAATCTTCCGCGCATGTACTTCCCTCGTCGATTCCTATCGTGTCGTCTTCTCGTTACTCTTCGCTCTCTTTTTCTCTCTTTTTCTTATACCATCGCTTCGTTCTTTTTGCTCGCTGGAGCTGTTTTCCTCTTCGGGCCAGATCACATCCATCATCCGCGGCAACCAAATCTCGGCATTTGTTGAGGTCTTCATCCTCCGACTCTACATGGTCATAGCGGCTCCTTTCAGCATCGATGAGAGGGTCGTCGGTGACGGGTCTGGCCCGATACCGTTTTACCATGTACATTTTCACATGTCACCAACTCAATTTCGTATTATTTGTGATCCATATTTTATTCGCTTGCTCTCAAACGATGTTTGCGTTCGTATATAAAATACTGGTATCTAGAAAAGCAATGTATTCGTGAAATCTCATCGATTTAAAAAAATATCCAAAAAATATCAAAATATTGAGTAATTCGAATTAAATGCCATGATATTAAAATTGAGAAAAAAGGTAATGGATCTAGATCAAGGTTGAAAAAATTTTGATATCGACTATCATTATTACATTGAATTTTATATTAAGTTTTTAAAATAATATTTTTTTTTGTTTTTAACATATTTAAGTTCATTAACATATTTCACAGTGATATTTTCGTAACTGACATAACGAGAATAAATTCATTATCAGAATTTCTTTAAATATAGTTAGAGGTTTCCGGCGAGATTCAATCACGTGATTTTGCTGTATATCAGCGATTGGAAATCACTCTCATCGTTAAGCCAAATTGCGTTTCTAGATTGTCTCATTATCTCGAACTATTCCAGACACCTCGGTCCCCAAATTAGATAAGCCAGAGGATCGAACTAAAATTCGTGTTGTGAAAGCCTGGTCCAATTATCAGTATCTATGGGATTGCGAAGCAGCTTGTATACCTTTATTATGTTAGGCGATACATTATTAAGACTGGTAGCTCAATTTATCTCAACATGTATTCATACACGTTTTCGGTCATGTCAAACATGTCGAACATTTAAATACGATTGATTTATACGAAAACGATAATCGAATTAAATCAAGATTAAAGAGACCTCATATATAAAAGAGTTTATTACACTCTGCTCTGTTTATAAATACATCGATCTTAGGAAATCAATAAACAAAATACATGTTTAATCTTTCACAATCTTATAATGGTAAATGTAGCAATACGCAGAACTATTTTTACACGATAAGCTTAAATATATATTCAAATATATATGCCAAACATATAATATGCATATATTTCTAATGAGATTATATTAAAACTTGCGTTCATCTGTAGCTATTTAAGGAAACAGTAAGGAGAAAATCAATACGCGAACAGAGTTAAATGGTTAGGCAACGAATGAGCTTAATAATCGTAACAATGAACGGGTCAACGGGCCAGCGATACAGTCTACATTTTGTGCCGTAGTTTTCTACGTGATACGACAACGGGTCATTGGCATAATGAAGAAACTTGGCGTGGGGTTCTCGGCGAAGAGAGAAACGCGGAGAAAGATTTCGAGCCAACTTTTTCTCGTCGCTCTCGCGCGACGACGCGCGCGATGCAGGCCAGTAAGACCGACAAGAATAACGAGGAGGACGACGAAAAGTTCGAAAATTCGTTGAGACGACGCCAGGGTTAGCGATAGGACAAAGAGGGACACGGAATGGCGGACCCAGCGGCACGTTTATCTTGCACTTCTTGCGGCCTTCACCGCTCGCTCGTTCCCTACCCTGTATCCCTCTGCGACCGCCACCTCTCTCCCCCTTTTTCGCTTCGCCTCCGCTCTCCTCCTAGCTACCGTTTGTTCTTTTGATTCTTTCCAGTCACTTCACCGCCATTGCCATTGCTCTGCCTGGCGTTGGCTTCCAAAGTAACCCCCCGGAATCCTTGTGGAAAAGTTTGGTTATTTAATTTCCTACCGCGCGGTTCGCTAGAGTTCTCTCCCCCCCTCTTCCTCCCTTCTTTTATATCTCTCCGGGCTCTCGCTC